TAAAAAAAAAAAAAAAAAATAAAATAACGTAAATAGTATTATAAATAAAATACACCTAGGCAATATAATCAATGAGGTTGTTAGTTTAAATCTGGTACTTAGGACGATTCTCATATACAGCAGTGGCAGTCCATTAGCATCGATTTATTCTTTAATGTTAATGTACACGTGTGGTGAATTTATTTTAATTAATTTAATTTTATCACCAGCTAAATAGAGTAGGTTGTTGACGTGTAATGCAGACGAAGTGTCGATTAAATTTTATTAATACGGATCGTTCCCTGACAATATACCTACTACAGCTATAATAGGTGTATGTCGCAGTGATATAGTCCCGATCAGGCCCATTAACTATTCTACAGTGTGATGTAAAGAATTGATTTATACCCGAGGGATTTGGTACTAGAGAAGTGAAAACGTTTCGATTGGAATTGGAACCCCAAAGTACGTAGTGTTTTTCTTTTATCATTCTTATTTCAAAATTCTTCGCCAATCGCCCTCGGTTAGTAAGGTTCGATAAATGGAGACAAAAAACCTCAGAGAAACGCCTCTCTATACATGTAATATAATATAGTGTGCAGTACATTGAAGCTTTCATTATGATAAGTCTCCTCAGTTCTATTTCTTTGGGTTGAACAATAATGTACCAACCGAAAAACAATTCGAGGGATGGAGTTTGATGACACAGGTACCAAAATTGTTTACCAATTTGACTTCTAATATTCACCATACGATTTCGATAAGAGACGTTTGAATTTGAAACTTTTGAAACTGTAGTAGTTAAACTGTAATAATTACTATAAATGAAATATGAACACTAAACGTAATAATAATTATATATTATTTTCTGGTTAGTGTTCAAACGTTGTTATTCAACAATATATTTTTAGATCAATTCTTAAACAACATAAGAAAATAGAAAAAATGAGTTTAACCTATAATATTTGAATATCAGTGTCTTTCAAATGTAAAAATAATAGTATAAAGTGAGGTCATACTATTATTAGCTTTTTTTTGTTTAAAGAGTGACATATAAGTATATAGCACATTTATGTAGAGTTATAATGATAGGAGGCTTATAATTATTAGTTTCTTTCAGTTAAATAATAATAGCGACATCTAACAGTAGAATTCCTTAAAAGTAAAAATATTTTTTTATCATATTTCCATAGAAATCAAACAGTTAATAATAACTCTTAAAAGTAATTTTTGATACTTTTTTCAACTTAAATTAAATTAATTTTTACATAATATTTATATTTAAAAACAAAAGAAAAAATGAAAAATGTGTATGTGGACTATAGATTATAGATGTATAATGAGATTAAAAAAAAAAATGAAGAGCTATAATTTATTAGTGACACTTTAACTTCGACCAAGCTCATATAATAATAGGTCTTGACACCATATCCTTCTGAGTCTACGACGAGAATTCCCTGGGAGAGTTATAGAAGGATATCTAATTGTGCTATGAAAATCCAGTAAAAAACATTTATAAAATTCAATGAATAAGTGATTTTTTTGATTTAAAATTATAGAAGATTAATAGAATAGAATAAAATAAAATAAAATATGTTTCATAATTTTGTTAAGAAATCGACAATAACTATGATAGATACAATGCATAAACCACGACAAAATATAAACAGTTTTTTTTTTATTTGAAATATTTGATTATTTTATTTTAAATTGTTCTAATACAATGACTGTAAATCGTAAATTCGAAGACTAAATAGTTATTAAATCTTTGCATATTAAACTAGAATAAAAATGGAAATTTAAAAGCTACTTGATTACAATGACGTATTGACGTATTAAAGTCATCTACTTCATATATGTATACATTTTTTTTTTGGAGTGCACCCGAAGAATAATTTTACGGTGATATTTACAAAAAGAAATATTTTTTATTTTATTTTTGTACAAAATGCCTTTTATTTAATAATAAATATGCCACCCCAAACCTTAACGCTTAATTAACGCGCGTCTGACAGCGCTCCTGTAAATTAATAATAATAAAATTTTATTTTTCTCAAAACGTCACGTTCAGAGCATAAAAAAGGTCTGGCCATCATTCTAAGAAGAAATGAGAAGAAAAGCACCGATCTAATCTTTGAAGAACATTGATGATAGGGTTTTTCGGGAAAAAAGAAAAACTTCTGTAACCATCCTTTAAATGAGATCTTTCACGTGGCCCAAATGTCCCAAATAATTCCGTACTTAATTAATTTTACAATTTATTGCGAATGAGAATACTTTTGTTAGTAACATTAAATATTTATTTTAATTACCAAAGTGAATTTTTATAATTTGTTTATTCGTTATTTGTCCGATTTCTTTTGTTATAAATTGATTCACTTTGTATTTGTATTTTCAAACATTAAAAATCCTATCGGTATTAATTAGTATAATGTATTAAAATTTAAAATCCTTTTTTTTGTTTTCAACATTTAATTGAATTATTAAAGAATAACTTTTTTTAATCTGTGTACTTTTGACGGTTATAAGCACTAAAAAAACATTTTATAATAATTTTTGTTTTAAATCAATTCTACCTATCTTGTCGAAGGTACATACATTTTTAATCCAGCTTATTATTAAATACTTCCTTCGCCTTATAGTTTATAATCTACGATATTTTAATTATTAGTTATTATAAAAAAAATGTAATTTGTTATAATATTAGGAAGTAGGCGATAGATAAAATAAATGCATTTGGAAATTTAATATTGAATGATATTAGTTTATGCACTTCTATGTCCGGGATGAAAATAATTAAAAAATAATGGACGTACCTACGATGGTATTAGAAAAAATAGGTATCGTAAGGTATAAACTATCATATTATTATTGTATGAATAATTGGATATGCTTAAAAACAAAAATTGTGACCACGTCAGTTTGAGTAACGATTAACTGAAAACTTTTGTCAACGAAAAACGAATAATAACAGATTAATATCTTTGTAGGTATAATATGATCGATGGTGGATTTAGTTAGGGACGCGAAAAGAAAGAGAGATAGGTGTTTCAATAATTTAATTAGTTGGAAAATTCATTACATTTTTGTTTCTTGTATGAATGTATATGCCACATAATTAATGTCACTTATCAAAATCGTAAAAACTGTGTTTTTTGTACATTCCGCGTTGCAGTTGGATCATATAATTTCTGGTCGCCCGGTCCAAGTTATTTCGAAAAGAAGCAATCAATGGTCGTGAGCAGACCAGTTAAATTCAATATTATTATTGCAGGTAAATTTAACCAAAATCAAAACAAGGATTTAAAGAATTGTACACCAGGTTGTAAACGTGCAGTATTGTAACCTTGGATATCGATGGTTCCCGACGGCTACAGTTGGTGCTTCGGCCACACGTCCGGGAATCAATGCCGTACAGTATTTTCTTATTATTTATTATCTCAATCTGCAGAGTTGTTCCACAGTTCGACACAAATCATCGTCTGGTTGAAAAAAAATACGCAATATATAAATAGGGGGGGGGGGGTGAAGGTGAGCGATGTCACAGATTCCGCGGGTGAAACAAGACCTGGTACAGCACCAGATGGGTGATGGCGGTGCTGGGTAAGCCGTGTACTATGAAGCGAGACAAGTCGGCGTGGGCAACCTCGCATGTCGCATACGATTTACTCGAATCGCATAAGACATTTTCCACCGTCCTACATATACGGTTGGTTGTTAGGTTATACGGTTGTTTGGATATACGGTGTCACAGTTGTGGCGGTCGCACAACTGACCATGTCATCGTAAACTTCAATTCGTTTCACAAATCACGTTCTGTGAATATTATTTAGTATCGTTTTCGTAAATCTGTATGTATTAAAAATTATACTGGTTTTTAGTAACATTTATTGTGTATATTCCTGTTCCGATTCTTAACGAGTCATGTACATTAATAATTTCTATTTATCTTACTTTAAAATTAATTAATGAAATAAATAGAAAAACTTTTGCTGTTGTGCATCCATCAATGGCAAAATGAGAAAAAACCGTACCCAAGGATTTATGAAATTAATTCCCTTGTTGTCCAAATGTATTTCAAACATTTTTGCACACAATTTTACATCACACATTATTTATTACGATTGGGTTTGCTATTTTAATAGTATAGTTAAACCTTTAAATATTAATGAAGTATTTACTTTATACAATTATGTGTGCGTCTGTACATTAAACGAAAGCTTTGAAATACCGAATGCGAATAGTTAAATAGTTACGGTATAAAAGCAGAGCATATAGTTTTAGTATTATTAAAAATTGTTATGAAACAAAGAAATATACACTTAAATTTATTTCCCATTCAAATAGTTTATTTTTCAAGTGAAATAAAAGTAAGACATTCAATTACCGTGATTATTATAACATTTATAGGCAATAAAATGTCTGATAAAAAGTATATTATTATTATGTATGTACTATGGATGTCAATTATTTCATGAAGAATTTCGAAATGGTAATTATTATAATACTGCCTGGTCGACGATAAATAAAGATAACATCGGTATATTTGTGCTAAAAAAACAGGAATGAGGCACGCTTTTAAGTATCTCACGTTTTGCAAATAAAAAATGTTTAACTATGTGAATAGTATTTAAATAGTTATTAGGATCATTAACAAAGTACTTACTATTTTATGTGGTATTTACAGTTTCGAATGGATTTGACCATATACGTATGTCAAACATATAAAAACGAATTGATTGTAGTTTTGAAAACGTTTAAACAATCGGATTGGATTATTTTAATTTTAATTGTGTTTGAATAAAGTGTATATTTTTATATGTTTGCCATGAATGCCATGCAACTACATTATATCTCTCCTCAGTATACTAATAATTGTATAGTAGGTATACTAAAATATTAAATACACGTTGTATGACGAATATATGCGGATTGCAGACGTTTGGACGAAGTCAATGTGATAAATTATTTCAAATTTGTTTCCATAATAATTGACCAGCCTAAGACCAATATATTATACGATATTATTATCGTATTCTATTAACACAACATTTTCGTCAACCTCACTGGTTTATTAGTGCAAGTATATACCAGACAGACACATTTGTTATAATACGAACTCATTGTGTTTCATATGATTCAACATTTGATTGTTTAATAATGTAAAAGATACATTCGTGAATGGTTCGAGTAAAACACAGTGCTTATTTTTTAAATTAGGTATACCTGCATACAAAATATAAGCACTCTCAATTAATATTTTTGCTAATAGCGTGAATCCATAATTTTGATTTAATTTAAATATACGATTAACAGTACGTATAAAACATAGCAAAATAGGCTGAATGTATACTACGTTTTTTTTTGTTTAAATTAATATTTATGAATTCTCGTCAAAAATATATTACACGCCACAATAGGTTTGTATGAATTTTTTTCCCTACCGATTCAACCTTTTTTTGTACGGAGGAAAACGATTTCCCGTCGGGATCAGTCTTGGTATATGTACCTATATGCATGTACAGTGGTGTGAGTTATGAAAAAAATAAAAATATATATGCTCACATGTATAATATAATAAAAACAACAATAATAATTACAATATTTTTACCACGGTGCATTCAAATATCACAATAAACCATAATAATCATATTACATACAATGAACATATTGTATACAATGTGTGCATTATTATTGTGTTATGCGCACGGTCGCTTATCGGCCTCTGCAATCGTAACGATTGTTATAATAATAATAATAATAATAATAATATGCTAGTAATTTTCCAACGATGACCGTGGTGACTGGTGGGTGTTCGGTAGGTACATACGTGTAATATAATATGAAAAAACTGTTACATTTTCAGATTAAAATATTTATAAATAGAATAATATTCTAAAACAGCATAATCCGCCCTATATTGTGTCATTATTATAGTTATATAGTAATATTATATCGTGGGGATGGCTCTAAATAAATTTAGCTACTCGTAGATAGTTGTAAATACAAAATTAAAATGTGTAGACAATTACCTACCTAATATTTTTATCTGACTTGATAAATATATTGTTTTTATTTGTTTATTTTTATGAAAGGCCCTAAAATCTGGCAAAAACTAGTAAAGCCTTTATAAATATTTATTTCGCTGAAATATTATTTAGTCATTTTTGTCATGACAAAATAGATAGGTATCATCATCAGAATATTGTAATAGTTTTTTTCAGTGTGCGCGTCTCCCTCACCTCCTCCCACGTCGTGGTTCTCTACTTATGATTGGTTGTTTTTGTTCTATGTTATATAACGTTATGCACATTACATATGAATATGATTGACAGCCAGCAAAAAGTGTAAGCTACGATTTTGATGAAAATAAATCTGTGATGATACGTATTTATTTTGTCATGATTAGGACGACGGTCGCCGATCCAGTGAAACCGTCGCCCACCACTTTCCACCCGCACACCACATTGTCATGTTATCGTCAGTGGAACGGAGGGGGTTGGGGAGAAAAAGTCGCGTATTATAGGCGCTATTGAAACTGGACTAAGGACAATAATATATTATGCTGTGCCGCCGAGTCGTCGTTAGTCACCGTACAGTGTACGCCGTTATAATATTTACTACATTTAATAATAACTGTGTGGAGTCTATACGTTATAGAAACTATTAATAGTTTAAGTCTCCCCAAAAATATATTTTACTCGCGAACCGGTACCGTCTTATAGCTGCGAAGCCGCTACGATGATTCATCTGCTGCTGCACCCCTTGTGCGTTTCGCTCGCTCTCCAGTTTTTATCCAGTAATTGCGTTTTTCTTATAATCTATTTTACAACACTCCTATCCGTGTGTGATAATGTATAATTTGTGCATTGTTTTCAGACCCATTGACTACCGCTGAGCCTACTAACGACACTACTATCGACGCCACCGAAGTTAAATATTATTTTTATGACCACAAGTAATAATTAAAAAACAAACAGTGTTATTACACTATACGAAAGCGATATTGACAATTCATTTAGATTTGTGTTGTCCGTTATAATTCTGTAGTATTCAACTTGAGTATCCGAATCCAATTGGCAATGAGTAATAACATATTAAATTAAGTTCTCGGTGGTAAACATAGTATAATAAATGACGGTATTTATGACACAGGGCTCAAGTAAGTTTTTAAAAATTGTTTATCACACTTTTGTTTTCTAGATCATTTTACGTCATATCAACTGGTGGCACTGATATCTGGCTATGTGTTCTTAATAATAGTATATTAGTATCTATATAAGTAACCTAGACAATCACATTTCAGTGCCACCAGTTGATATGACGTAAAATGATCTAGAAAACAAAAGTCCAATGCAAAAGATTTTTAAAACTGACTTGAAACAAGTACACAAACACCCTAAAAAATATTCTGTGTCATGCACGAAATAATATTTTTCTGGTAGAATCGGAACGATTTCATAACTTCATGCAGTTCATCTTTTGCTTGAAACTTCCCGATAACGCTTATTTATTAACACTAATGGATAAACTATATTTTGTAATTATTATCATGATTATTGTTTGGATATGGCTTTTTATTGATATTAGTACGAGACATATGTAATATAATTATTGTGCTGTATAATTTATTGTTACAGCTACCAATTGATGGAGGAAAATAACTTGACGATTTCAGGCAACAAATCGTTGATTGTATTTGTGCATGGATTTAGATCAAGTCCCCGGACTGGTGTTGTAGCAGATTTAGGAAAATGTAAATCAATTTTTTTATTTTTAACTTTATTGTTTAAATACTTAAATACATATTATCAAAATAATTAATTCAGATCGAGATTAAGATAACTATTAATTGTTCGTATTAATACAAAACCATTACAGCTTTTAATTGTTTTTTCCACTCTGGTCTTTAAAAACATTTTTCTCGAATGTCCATCTGCCGAACTCAACAGAAAAACGAAAAAAAAACTATTTCATTTTTGTGTATGGTTTCCGACGAACTGTTCTTTTTTTTACATAAAATTTAAACATTCGATTGTATAGATATATTGATGTATACAGAGTGGGGAAACACGTTAACTTAATTAAGCTTTAATTGTTATTTATTATTATCGAGTGAAATTGATGTGCTAGCTAAGTACAAAGTTATAACAGTATGATGGTAAAATACTAGTAGAATTCCTTCCTATTCACGAGTGCAGTAACTATTAAATTGTCAAAAATGGAACAATTATGCAGTACGTATTGTTAATAATTAAAATATTCAGTGTCTGTTTTAGACAAGATGAAATTCAGTAAGAACGTAATTTAGTGTAAGTACTCGCACATTAGAATTTAAGATTTTTTTGTATCTAATAATATGAGTCTAAATATTCGAGATTTTACTGAAATAATTCTCAGTGACTTACAAAGCTAACTTCAAACCGTATATACTCTATAATATGCATACATTAATATTAATTATGCCTTCGCTATCGGGACTGAGATTTATATAAATATTATGTTTCAACCTAATGAACACTCAATTGCTATCATAGCAGTATCTGATTCAGCTGACATTCATAATACAACTTAGTAAATACAACTATTCAATTCAGTTGATTTTGTTTACTAGGTATTATAATAATGATTTTACTGTTCTGTTCGTGAGACGTGAGAAAATATTTTGGATATTAAACCTACTACATTTTAAATTTTCATATATTAAAATATTACACTGTTCATCACACATTTATGAATACCTATCAATCAAAACACTGTAAACATTTAAAAATCGTACTATACTATTCTGAGTACAAAATATAATCAATCTGTTAAATATAATGAGCGTACATTTCTGACTAATATCATTCACGATACGTTTATTCAGAATATAATTCTATTTTCAATCAGTTCTATATGTCAAAATATACAAAACATTATTTTCACAACACCTGACTTTTTACAGTAACTGCAGTTGTCACTATAATACGACGACCGAATAGAACTTAATTATTTACGTATCCACATTTTCGGTACTAAGAACCTTCTTAACAGTACGTTATATATATATATTGAGCACGACGTACGTTGAACACATACTTGACACATAATTTCACCATTGGATATAAGCTCGGCATTCGCGTTTAAACTATATTAACTATTTACAATCAAACGTGCAAGGTGCAATAATAATCATTATTTTCACACGCAGTGAACATTTCCGTCAATATTGGCACAATCCCTTTAGAAATATTAATACTTACCTGTCTATGCTATGCTATGTCGTTATTTATATTTTGACTCTTCTGTATAAGTTGTGCGTAACAATAATTATCAACATTTCAAAACAGTTATATAATATAACACGTATACAACGTAATTAATATTAGAACACTGTTGATACCTAATCCCTGTAAGCAATGCTTGTGGCGGGATTAAGGAGTCTTAAATAATTGATAAGTTGTAACTAATTAACATACATTTTTTTATAAAACAATGATAAACATTAAAATAATAAAACAGTACAATTGAAATTAAAATATATATGTATCATTTAGAGTTAAAAATTACGCATGAAAAAAACGTATAAAAAGAAACATAGGACTACTAATAATTGCTATATTAATTTTTTTTTTATTATTATTTATATTGCAGAGTACCGTGCATTTTTTCAAGTTTATATGCGCTACGGTCATACATAATATCACATTAATACTTAATTTCTAAGAAATATACACCATTAAATGACAGAAAATCGAGTGTTTATAGTTTTAATAACGAGCAAGAATGCGTTTAATGAATAACGTTGTGGATTATTACCTATTGTGTTTTAAACTTGTAATACTTTCAGAAATACCAAAATGGAAACATATTATTACAATTCTAGGACTTCTTGGCAAAATACGTTTTTGTGTATACATGTATCTATATATTTTTTATTTTAACAAATTATTTTAAAAATCTATAAAACTAAATATTGTGAGAGTTACATAATTTCAAATAAAATAAAATCATAATTTGTACGGCGAGGCGTTTAACACGAATAAATTGCGTTTATTAAATTAATTGACACGAAGTAAACAAATAATAAACATGTTTATTTAGCCTTTTAGGTTTTATTATATTTAAGACTGTCCCTTTGAAAACTATAAGTGGTTTGTTTCCAACTGACCTATAAAATGTTCATAACTTTTTAACGAATTATTAAATCTAATTTCATAAATGTTTCTATCGATTAAAATACTATGGTTATTGATTAGTACCCACATATTATTATTAATATCAGCATTTGAGTAATTTAGTCATATTTACACGATGACATCAAATAATTTATGTATTTTGTATCGTGTAATCCGTACCGCTTGTGTTAGTCGATTTTTTCCTGGAATTGTATATCCATATACTGCCAAAACAAAATTTGCAGGTTTCAATGGTGTAATTTATAATACCAGGTACTAGGTGTATACCTATGTGATTAATGGGTGTAGTGATATATATATTTTTTTTTATCGTTAGTTGGCAAAAACAAACATGTGACTAAAGTATACGTATACCTATTTACTCATGTAGCTCTGATGCAGTGGACGGACTCCAATGTGGTTTTAGTCGATTGGTCAAAGTGGACCCAGAAATTGGATTACACGGATGCGGTACTTAAATTACCGGCAGTTGCTACCTATCTGTTCGACTGGTTGAACAGTTTGCGTGACCGCGGTATCGTACAGAGCCTTGATGATGTCACATTGATCGGCCATAGTTTGGGGGCTCAGTTGATTGGTTACACGGGCCACAGGTTGAACGGGACAATCAAGAGAGTTATAGGTACGTATGTTATTTTCGAAATTTGGTCACGATTGTACAGGCTGTAATTAATATTACCGACTACGTTTCGAAACCGACACCGTGTGTGTATACATCGATGTGGATACTCGTGGAAACAGAGTGATGACGTATTAATTTACATTATCTTGTGTGTATATTTAATAGAGAGCTTAATTACTACAAAACTAAATGATTTTTTTTTTCTAAATAAATACCTATCCGAGGTTTTTACTTTTTTGGTAGGTACCTATACTACTTGGTACCCATTTAATGTTATTATCTATAGCCAATTATTAGTAGGCAGTCATATTGTGTTTTATTGTTTAACTATTTAAGTTTAGTTATTTTGTGGTTCATATTGTTACACAAGGTTTTTAAAATATAAATAAATAAAGTTTAGATTTAAAGCATAGATACCTACCCTGAAACTCAGAATATTCAAAACTGTTTATAAACGGGTGGCATTTGAAACAACTATTTTTGAATATTATAAAATAATAATAATACACTCAATAAAATATTATAGCATACGTACATTAATTTTGACATCATAAATAAATATATTTTTTAAACGGTCTCTGATAAGAATAATATTAAGTTATTACAATACTAAAATATGTAATATCACTAATATATTTTGTTTTAATTCATGAATACTGAATAGTTTTATTATATAGGTAATATTAAGCGGGTATTTCAATACAATACATAAAATTGCTCATTATTAAATTGTTTTACTTGAGTACCTATCTGTTAGATATGGAATTGCAGTTATTTTAGCTATGTAATACAAATAAAATTGTGCTTTTTATTCAGTTTATGGACATCGAACTCTACCATCTATTGAAAAGTTGGATGTTTTCATGATTCTGGATTTGACAACTAAATTATTAAAGAAAAGTGTAATTTAAACAAAAAATACAATAACAATATTTTTCATGGTTTTATAGTTATAATAAAATGAGTAAATGAGTTAAACTAGGTTGTTATAATATATTTATGTATATAAATATTTGTTATGCCCATGAATGTGAGTATATGACAATAGTTTTAGGTCAATTACTCATTGTTAATACACGTTATTTAAAGCTTTATGAACAAATCATGAATAATAACTAACATCAAAAATTATGTTTCTTTGGTAAACAATAATACAAATAATAATATATAATTTATCTACAGTACAATGCAATTTTAAGTTAGTTCAATAATATAATTTATAATTCAAATCTACTACGGTAAATAATTTTAAAAAAAATTCCCATAATATTATTAATTGCATTAGTTACTACATAATAACATCGTTAGATAGGTAGTCGCATAAACATTAATTGTTTTTATCATGCATTTTAGCATACAATTTTCTGCCTCAACCCAATTTCATTTAATGGTTCTCTTTTGTATAAATATACAAGTATGTCGCATCTACTTAGTAATATAGCTCTTAAAGTGACCACTTCATGAAATATATCCAAGTCAAGGAAATCACGTTTTTAAAGTATTGTTTTTTTTTTAGTTAACTTAGTGAAATGGATAGTTATTTTTTACACTTAAAAAGAGATGAAAACTGTATAAAATTGATATTAATTGTTTTATATTTTTTTAAACTACTTGAAACTATATAAAGATATTATATTTTTAACTATATTATATAATACCATCAGCCTCACGAAAAGCTGTACGCTTTGTATATACGTTTTCGTTATTTCACAAAGTGTACAAAATAAGTATCCATCTTATGAAGTGGATAAAAATAACTCCATGCCTATCACGAACAAAAAATGACAGTTTTGGCGAAAGAAGAGTGATTTTGCTAAGTGGTCTCACATATACATACATATTATAAATAATATATTTTTTTAAATTTACTTTTTGTAACTTCGTGTTTTTACTATTTTTTATTTGTTTTAAAGTTAATAATTACTAATCGAATATCAAAGTATGTTCAATATGATATAAAAAAAAGATATATATATATATATATGCTGTAAATCCACATCATATTATACAATTCTATTTATCTAATCCAAACTATAAATACTGAGGTAATTAATTATTAAACGTATAATGGGTTTAGTCTTAATATTACGTTGAAATATTTCTATTGAGATAATACAATTAGTACAATATTAAAATAACCTAACCGAAATAAATATTACAATATGATAACTGTTTCGTACAGAGTATAGACTTTACAGTTCATGTAGATTTATTCGAATGGTGATAAAAAACATATAAAATTTTATTTTTAGTTTGACCCGAAAATCGAAATGGGTATTTTACAATTTATAAATTACCTTTTATATACATATGACATTTGCGTACAGGTACCGTAACCTATATCAATTATGCATATTCATAAACATGTTATAGAAATAGGCACACGCACACACACACACACACACACACACACACACTTTATTATACGATGAACATTGGTATTCCTTTGATTCCCGACCGGTGTAGGTTGAGGTAAAGCGAGAGGAGGGCATGCCACCATTTTGCTGGAAAATGTCGTTTTGAAGGTTGCCCAGCGATGACATCGGAAGACCATTAATTACACGACACGCTATTGTCTCGACTAATCTGACGTTGGTATTACTCCCACTTTTACTATTACTACCACTACTAATACTATTAATACCACTTTAGTACCAGCGGTACTAGAAACGTTACAGCTAAACTTTAACTTCAACCACTGCTGCAGCTACTGCTGCGTACCGAGTACTGTACTTAATACGGTTGACGTGTGCACCGAATTTGTGTGAATATATTCTGTGTGATTCAAATAGAAAGAATTTTTAAATTCCGAGCGCAATTAATCCCCTTGCTATAATGTCTGCGTTTTTAATATCTAATTAAAAATGTCTTGTATTTCTTAAGATATTACTCGGTCGAAGACAAAATGATCATTTATTTGTGTGTATAAATAATATATATATACGATAGATACCAGCGAGGACTTTGTCGATTGTTTCACTGCCGCTGGCGACCGTCGTTGAAAATTGCGATCTCTCGAAATCAAACAACTTAAAGGGCGAATAAAATAAGAGAGAAAAATACAGCGTTGTGAACACCAGATAGTGTAGGACCGTTCGTACCGAGTTCAGACTTACGGTTCAAATCACTTCGGGACTTCAAATAAATAGTCAGAGAAAAGCGTCAACACCGCCTCCGCTAACCGGTAGTCACACGAGGGCATATCACCCACCACATTATACCTATTGTAATATACTGTTATTAAACCATATACTTACAATCCGTGTACTTACACACGTCACGGTTATCTGTTTAAATGGTCAGGTACATAATAATTGTGTAAGTCGACTCTCGTGAAAAAAAATGTTAGTGTGAAGTTTATTGGTACAATTGTACCCTGATCTATGTGTATTATCACTTACCACGCTAGAAATAGATATTATATTACAATAGATTACAGATTTTGTGTAAGATTTATTTTTTAAATCGTTGATCCAGAATTACACTATGTATTTAATTATTCTTTTCAGAAATATGCACAAATTGACTCACTGAAAATGAATGCGATCATTTAAATAAGTATCACCCTGTACATGCAGTGGGCTTGAGGCAAGCATTCGGGTCGGCGGGGGTGTTCTGAAAACGTTTCTTAGCTCGCGAATTCATACATTTTAGCGACACTCTCGCAAACGAAACAAAACGTAATAAAACCTAACCTCTTGTATTTTCGTTAAGCACACATACTCCACGGCGTTGGCTAAATTAAATTCGACGTTTTGTTTTCTAACATTAATATAACATCGTCTACCTACTTAGTGGTGTTATTATATAATTCATATACATATATTATTATTATTATATCACACGATCGCTTTACAAGGACCTACTCGCGTCGGCGATGAAATCAAATTTCACAACACAACGACATACATCCGCAGTATTATAATTGCACGCAAAATAATCGGTGTGCAATAGGAATTGACAAATAACGTGGTGGTGATGGTGGGAGGGGGGTACTAAAATTTTTCAACCATAAGAGAGCTATTTCTGGGGAGGGGGGGGGGGGTATTACCTAATGAAAATTTGAAGTGCCGCTGGGCCTGAATTTTTAATAGTAGGCACCTATATATAGGTTACATATGTGTCGGTTTAGGTCATGTTGCTAATTTTTGATGGTTACAGATGGGTTTTTTAAAGAATCGTTTAATATTACGAAGACGACCATAATACACCGTCGAGTAAACGATTCGCATAACCTTTCAAAAAGATTTTTTGTTTTATTATCTTTTATTGACCTTATCGAGTTGAGTGTTGCCTGTAGGTACCTGCTCTTTACGCAATTAAATTTTTTATTTATTTCAAAATACTAGTTACGGTTACACTACTATTTTAGTTATTTTAACTTAAAGTTACCTAGCCATACAATTATATTATTATATATTTCTTAATAGAAATCAGTGTTTTTTTCCACACAAGTTAATCATTATAATTTATAATTTGCCATTTTTGGTTTTTCCAGCCATTTTCGAATAATGTTTAGACGATTAGATACACTTTAATCGATGTCTGCAGATTAAACTCGGTCATATTTATTACACATACTTTGACGGCAAATATTATCAGGGATGAATTCATACTTGACCTTTTTATTACCTGCTATTTTCAGCCGGTATTCATATTCATAAAACCATTAAGGTAATATCGGGCCAGTTTATGTTTGCCCGATCAAACATTTCCTAAATTCTTACAAAATATTATAATAAATTTAACACACGCCGTATATAAATATCTATTTAATATTGCCAAATAATATAGTCCTTTATGATAGGCGTGTTTGTGATTAAAATGTATACCGATTTTAAACCAAATCCATCAAAATAATTATAGGCTTTGAGTATGAAATATTTCAAATTTCAAACTTTCACCCTTCTTGAAATATTAAAATATATATATTTTTTTAATTTTGGGTTTCTACTATATTTTATAAAATCATCACTAGATAGTCATACTGGTTTCATACG